AAAATATAAAATATAAAATATAAAATATAAAATATAAAATATAAAATATAAAATATAAAATATAAAATATAAAAATATAAAATATAAAAATATAAAAAATATAAAATATAAAAATATAAAAATATAAAATATAAAATATAAAATATAAAAATATAAAATATAAAATATAAAAATATAAAATATAAAACATAAAATATAAAATATAAAATATAAAACATAAAATATAAAATATAAAATATAAAATATAAAATATAAAAATATAAAATATAAAATATAAAATATAAAAATATAAAATATAAAATATAAAAAATAAAATATAAAATATAAAATATAAAAATAAAATATAAAATATAAAATATAAATATAAAAATATAAAAAAAATATAAAAATAAAAAATAAAAATATAAAATATAAAATATAAAACATAAAACATAAAAAAATATAAAATATAAAATATAAAATATAAAAATATAAAATATAAAATATAAAATATAAAATATAAAATATAAAATATAAAATATAAAAATATAAAATATAAAATATAAAATATAAAATATAAAAATATAAAATATAAAATATAAAATATAAAATATAAAATATAAAATATAAAAAATAAAAATATAAAATAAAAATATAAAATATAAAAATATAAAAATATAAAATATAAAATATAAAATATAAAATATAAAATATAAAAATATAAAATATAAAATATAAAATATAAAATATAAAAATATAAAATATAAAATATAAAATATAAAATATAAAATATAAAACATAAAATATAAAATATAAAATATAAAAATATAAAATATAAAATATAAAATATAAAATATAAAATATAAAATATATAAATATAAAATATAAAAACATAAAAATATAAAATATAAAATATAAAATATAAAATATAAAATATAAAATATAAAATATAAAATATAAAATATAAAATATAAAATATAAAAATATAAAATATAAAATATAAAATATAAAATATAAAATATAAAATATAAAAATAAAATAAAATATAAAATATAAAATATAAAAAATATAAAAATAAAATATAAAATATAAAATATAAAACATATAAAATATAAAATATAAAATATAAAATATAAAATATAAAAATATAAAAATATAAAATATAAAATATAAAATATAAAATATAAAACATAAAAATATAAAAATATAAAATATAAAAATATAAAATATAAAAATATAAAATATAAAAATATAAAATATAAAAATAAAAAAATATAAAATATAAAATATAAAATATAAAATATAAAAAATATAAAATATAAAATATAAAATATAAAATATAAAATATAAAAATATAAAATATAAAATATAAAATATAAAATATAAAATATAAAATATAAAAAATATAAAAATATAAAATATAAAATATAAAATATAAAACATAAAAATATAAAATATAAAATATAAAATATAAAATATAAAATATAAAATATAAAATATAAAATATAAAAATATAAAATATAAAATATAAAATATAAAATATAAAATATAAAATATAAAATATAAAATATAAAAATATAAAATATAAAAATATAAAAATATAAAATATAAAATATAAAAATATAAAATATAAAATATAAAATATAAAAATATAAAAATATAAAATATAAAATATAAAATATAAAATATAAAATATAAAATATAAAATATAAAATATAAAAAATATAAAATATAAAATATAAAAAAATATAAAATATAAAATATAAAATATAAAATATAAAAAAATATAAAATATAAAATATAAAATATAAAAATATAAAATATAAATATAAAAATATAAAATATAAAATATAAAAATATAAAATATAAAATATAAAATATAAAATATAAAATATAAAATATAAAATATAAAATATAAAATATAAAATATATAAAATAAAAATATAAAAATATAAAATATAAAAATATAAAATATAAAATATAAAAATATAAAATATAAAATATAAAATAAAATATAAAATATAAAATATAAAATATAAAATATAAAATATAAAATATAAAATATAAAATATAAAAATATAAAATATAAAATATAAAATATAAAATATAAAAATATAAAATATAAAATATAAAATATAAAATATAAAATATAAAATATAAAATATAAAATATAAAATATAAAATATAAAAACATAAAATATAAAAATAAAAATATAAAATATAAAAAATATAAAATATAAAAAATATAAAATATAAAATATAAAATATAAAATATAAAATATAAAATATAAAAAATATAAAATATAAAATATAAAATATAAAAATATAAAATATAAAATATAAAAATATAAAATATAAAATATAAAATATAAAATATAAAATATAAAATATAAAATATAAATATATATGTCCATGGCGTGGGCAACACCTCCCTGCAGAGTGATGTTCATGATGATGACGCCTCGAGTGCCGGATCTGCATCATATCTGCGCGCCCGGAGCAGTACCAATTTGATGTTGAATAAATCAATGCATGCCATGAATGAGGAGCATAATTACGAGACGATTGCACCAGCTGGAAGCTATAATGCCTTCAAGGATTTTACCTGGCGGCGTTCGCCAAAGAAATCCGGAGGCAGTGGCGGCTGCAAGGCGCGTCTATCAGCTCCGGAGGCTGCCGAGGAGAAGCTAAACCAGGAGGCTTTCAGATTGACCAGAACCATCAGGAATCTGCTGCACACGTCGGAACAGCAACCGGATCTCACACAGCCGCGTCACTCGTTGGCCTCCATTTCCTCGCTACCCTCGGGAAATCATCGTCTGTGCAAGGGAAAAACCAGTTCGGTGAGGACATTGCTGACGCCACCATTGCACAATTCCACCAGCATCATGAATGCCACTCTAGAGGCGTCTCCGGCGTCACCGGCTGGGAAATCCAATGCGGAATTGATCTTTCTGCGGGCCAACAATATGCGAGACTCGAGGCTATCGCTGCGCAGCTCCACCGACAGTTCCGTGCATTCCACCATCTCCTCGACGGCATCCTCTTCCTCGAAAGTGGAAACGGACGAGGAGACCCAGACCCAGACCACCGCCAGCAACATAGCCATCAGCAATAGTAATATCAAACCCACCAGTAATAAGCAGAGCGGCGGTTCTAGTACCGAAGATGAGAGTGGTTTCAGTTCGATTAGCTCCTTTCACGATGTCGGCTTGCCTTTGAGTTCCACCTTGATGAATGGTAACCAAAGACGTCTGTCCATGTCCACGGATAGCAGGAATTCCACCCTGAAATCTGGCTTGAATATGCTGGGATTACCAATGCAAAATCAGACTCAAATTCAAGTTCAGGTTCAAGCTCAGATTTCCAGCAGTGCATCGCCCTCAAAAACCTATCGCAATGCGAATCGCTATCAGCGCTTTTCCACTTTATCAAACGAAGATGCAGCAGCCGTATTGTGGGTCTAGATGGGTGGAAAATTCTGCTAACGAAATCACTTTTCAACATTGATTTGACTTTCGAAAATAAGTTCTGAAACTTTATTTAATTTCTATAAACCCCTGTAGATTTAGTTTGGTTTTTCTCTAGTGCCTCCGCTTAGTGTTTAGTTCATCACTTTTAAAGAGTGTTTAATTTTAAAACTTATATTTTATCATTTACTTTTTTTTAAGAACAAAGCGCGCATTTCTATGTTAACAATATGTACATTTTTCATAATTCTTAAGTTTTGCAGTATTTATAAATGAATAAAAATAATTTATACCATAAAATATAAAATATAAAATATAAAATATAAAATATAAAATATAAAATATAAAATATAAAATATAAAATATAAAATATAAAATATAAAATATAAAAATATAAAATATAAAATATAAAATATAAAAATATAAAATATAAAATATAAAATATAAAATATAAAATATAAAATATAAAATATAAAATATAAAATAAAATATAAAATATAAAATATAAAATATAAAATATAAAAATATAAAATATAAACATAAAATATAAAAATATAAAAATAAAAAAATATAAAATATAAAATATAAAAATATAAAATATAAAATATAAAAATATAAAATATAAAATATAAAATATAAAAATATAAAATATAAAATATAAAATATAAAATATAAAATATAAAATATAAAATATAAAATATAAAATATAAAATATAAAACATAAAATATAAAATATAAAATATAAAATATAAAAATATAAAAACATAAAACATAAAAATATAAAATATAAAATATAAAATATAAAATATAAAATATAAAACATAAATATAAAATATAAAATATAAAAATATAAAACATAAAATATAAAATATAAAATATAAAATATAAAATATAAAATATAAAATATAAAAATATAAAATATAAAATATAAAATATAAATATAAAAATATAAAATATAAAAATATAAAATATAAAACATAAAACATAAAAACATAAAAATATAAAATATAAAATATAAAAATATAAAATATAAAATATAAAATATAAAATATAAAATATAAAAATATAAAATATAAAATATAAATATAAAAATATAAAATATAAAAAATATAAAATATAAACATAAAAATATAAAATATAAAAATATAAAATATAAAATATAAAAATATAAAAATATAAAATATAAAATATAAAATATATAAAATATAAAATATAAAATATAAAATATAAAATATAAAATATAAAACATAAAAAACATAAATATAAAACATAACATAAAATATAAAATATAAAAATAAAACATAAATATAAAATATAAAAATAAAAATATAAAATATAAAACATAAAATATAAAAAATATAAAATATAAAATAAAAATATAAAACATAAAATATAAAATATAAAATAAAAATATAAAATATAAAATATAAAAATATAAAATATAAAATATAAAATATAAAATATAAAATATAAAATATAAAATATAAAAATATAAAATATAAAAATATAAAATATAAAATATAAAATATAAAATATAAATATATATGTCCATGCGTGGGCAACACCTCCCTGCAGAGTGATGTTCATGATGATGACGCCTCGAGTGCCGGATCTGCATCATATCTGCGCGCCCGGAGGAGTACCAATTTGATGTTGAATAAATCAATGCATGCCATGAATGAGGAGCATATTTACGAGACGATTGCACCAGCTGGAAGCTATAATGCCTTCAAGGATTTTACCTGGCGGCGTTCGCCAAAGAAATCCGGAGGCAGTGGCGGCTGCAAGGCGCGTCTATCAGCTCCGGAGGCTGCCGAGGAGAAGCTAAACCAGGAGGCTTTCAGATTGACCAGAACCATCAGGAATCTGCTGCACACGTCGGAACAGCAACCGGATCTCACACAGCCGCGTCACTCGTTGGCCTCCATTTCCTCGCTACCCTCGGGAAATCATCGTCTGTGCAAGGGAAAAACCAGTTCGGTGAGGACATTGCTGACGCCACCATTGCACAATTCCACCAGCATCATGAATGCCACTCTAGAGGCGTCTCCGGCGTCACCGGCTGGGAAATCCAATGCGGAATTGATCTTTCTGCGGGCCAACAATATGCGAGACTCGAGGCTATCGCTGCGCAGCTCCACCGACAGTTCCGTGCATTCCACCATCTCCTCGACGGCATCCTCTTCCTCGAAAGTGGAAACGGACGAGGAGACCCAGACCCAGACCACCGCCAGCAACATAGCCATCAGCAATAGTAATATCAAACCCACCAGTAATAAGCAGAGCGGCGGTTCTAGTACCGAAGATGAGAGTGGTTTCAGTTCGATTAGCTCCTTTCACGATGTCGGCTTGCCTTTGAGTTCCACCTTGATGAATGGTAACCAAAGACGTCTGTCCATGTCCACGGATAGCAGGAATTCCACCCTGAAATCTGGCTTGAATATGCTGGGATTACCAATGCAAAATCAGACTCAAATTCAAGTTCAGGTTCAAGCTCAGATTTCCAGCAGTGCATCGCCCTCAAAAACCTATCGCAATGCGAATCGCTATCAGCGCTTTTCCACTTTATCAAACGAAGATGCAGCAGCCGTACGTAGCAACCGTATTGTGGGTCTAGATGGGTGGAAAATTCTGCTAACGAAATCACTTTTCAACATTGATTTGACTTTCGAAAATAAGTTCTAAAACTTTATTTAATTTCTATAAACCCCTGTAGATTTAGTTTGGTTTTTCTCTAGTGCCTCCGCTTAGTGTTTAGTTCATCACTTTTTAAAGAGTGTTTAATTTTAAAACTTATATTTTATCATTTACTTTTTTTAAGAACAAAGCGCGCATTTTATGTTAACAATATGTACATTTTTCATAATTTTAAGTTTTGCAGTATTTATAAATGAATAAAAATAATTTATAACATAAAATATAAAATATAAAATATAAAATATAAAATATAAAATATAAAATATAAAATATAAAATATAAAATATAAAAATATAAAAATATAAAATATAAAATATAAAAATATAAAATATAAAATATAAAATATAAAATATAAAATATAAAATATAAAATATAAAATATAAAATATAAAATATAAAATATAAATAAATATAAAATATAAAATATAAAATATAAAATATAAAATATAAAATATAAAATATAAAATATAAAAATATAAAATATAAAATATAAAATATATAAAATATAAAATATAAAATATAAAATATAAAATATAAAAATATAAAATATAAAATATAAAATATAAAATATAAAATATATAAAATATAAAATATAAAATATAAAATATAAAATATAAAATATAAAATATAAATAAAAATATAAAATATAAAATATAAAATATAAAATATAAAATATAAAATATAAAATATAAAATATAAAATAAAATATAAAATATAAAATATAAAATATAAAATATAAAATATAAAATATAAAATATAAAATATAAAATATAAAATATAAAATATAAAATATAAAATATAAAATATAAAAAATATAAAATATAAAATATAAAATATAAAATATAAAATATAAAATATAAAATATAAAATATAAAATATAAAATATAAAATATAAAATATAAAATATAAAATATAAAAAATATAAAATATAAAATATAAAATATAAAATATAAAATATAAAATATAAAATATAAAATATAAAATATAAAATATAAAATATAAAATATAAAATATAAAATATAAAATATAAAATATAAAATATAAAATATAAAATATAAAAATATAAAATAATAAAAATATAAAATATAAAATATAAAATATAAAATATAAAATATAAAAAATATAAAATATAAAATATAAAATATAAAATATAAAAATATAAAATATAAAATATAAAATATAAAATATAAAAATATAAAATATAAAATATAAAATATAAAATATAAAATATAAAATATAAAATATAAAATATAAATATAAAATATAAAATATAAAAATATAAATAAAAAATATAAAATATAAAATAAAAAATATAAAATATAAAATATAAAATATAAAATATAAAATATAAAATA